TTGTTGCCTGTGCACATACCCCCCTAAAAGCCCTTCACCGCAGAGGACTGTGAGACTCTTGCAGCTGTGGTGATCTGGCGACTTCAGGAAAGTAGGTCGCTTGTGTCTTGGGGAACTCCCTTCCTCCCGAGTCCAAAATAGAAGGAAGAAAAGGTCAAAGCAGGGTTCTCACTACTGAGGGCTGCGCAGGGCAGGGGCTTGAGGGTTTTCTTTTTTTTTTTCCTGTAGCTAGACAGTATAAAACAAGTGAACTCTCCCCAGAAAGGCGCCTGCCCTTGCTCCCTGAACACTTGCCAGGGCCCCAGTTTGCGCAGTGCAAGGCCGGGACCCCGTCAGCTGTGCGGAGCAGCGCCGGGCGCTCCCCACTACCACATAACCACCTGCAGCCGCTGGAGCTCGCTGTGCTTCAATTTTGCTTTATTCTTCAATGCAAATTATGTTAACAGCTGTTATTGTGGATGCTAATGTCTTATCTGACTGTTTTCTGCACCTCATTGCTCTGTTCTTTACAAGCTCTTTTATTTTCTGCTGGTCTGTCACTACGTTTCTGCTGCCCCTCCCTCTAGCTGGGTTTGTCAAGTCGCCCATGTCAGAAACTAAGCTCACGGGGGACGCCTTTGAACTGTACTGTGATGTGGTTGGGAACCCCACTCCAGAGATCCAGTGGTGGTATGCGGAAGTCAACCGGGCTGAGGCTTTCAAACAGCTGTGGGATGGCGCTCGGAAGCGCCGGGTCACCATTAACACTGCCTACGGGGCCAATGGGGTGAGTGTGCTGAGGATAACCCGCCTTACGCTGGAAGACTCTGGGACTTACGAGTGCAGGGCCAGCAACGATCCCAGGAGGAATGACTTGAGGCAAAACCCCTCCATAACGTGGATTCGAGCCCAGGCTACTATAAGCGTCCTGCAGAGTGAGTGGAGCACCGTGCCGTAGTGGTACAGTAGTGACTAGAGGCAGTCTGGTGACCCTGCCTTGTCCCGTGTCCCTCACTAGACCCTCTTCCACCTTGTCCTGTTGTTCTGCACCCAAACCTCTCCGGTGTGTTTGCCTTTTGTGCCTTTCCTCCCTAGGATCAAAGGACTTGGGAAAACCCGTGGATGTTTTATGGCTTCTGTGTGCAAATGAGCCTTGTGTTGCTTTTGCTTCCTCCCTCCCCCTTTAGTTTTGTAGTAGGTTTCCAGCTGTCCTAGTGCTGCCTTCTCCATGAGTGCCTTTCTATTTGATTTATCTATTCTTCCATATCTCACAGTTTTGGTTTTATTTCCTCTGTTCTCTTGGGATTTCTCGGAATGCCTTCCGCACGTGGCTTTGGTTGCATATGTACTTCTGCACAACTCTCCCTTCCAGTTACATGTGACCTTCAATGTGTAGATCTTTCCATAAAGTCATGGTGTTTCTCTTCCTCTCTGAACAGCAGCATGTTTCCTAACGAGTTCTCTGATGTGGCAGCACCAAACTGATGCAGCTCTTAAGCTACACTGTAAAAAGGGAGGGGAAAGAATTCTTTTCCCAGTGTTAAACTGAGCTTCAGGTGAATGACTTGCAGCTGCGAGTGCAACTTTTGGCAACTGAAAAGATCTCAAGAGTAGAGAATACGTGACCCAGAATTACTTTTATTCTTTGTTTTTACAAGTCTCTTCTGTGTCCTGCTGGCTTTTTAAGCAGTCCCTGGCACAGTTGGACACCTGTTTTATCAGAGTCGATCTAGAAGAGCCCCATTTCACTTTGTGTAAGCTGTGCAACAGCTCTCGCATTTGCTAGCAAGGAAATGCATAATGCAGCATGACTTACATTTGCAGTGCCAAAAGCAAATTCTCCTGCTCCTCCTTGGTGGTTTCTGCAGGTGAACGGCAGAGGGGAGACATTTTCTAGCCCTTTCCACCGTTTTCACTAGGCCCCTAGGCACCACTGATTTTCGTCGTAGTACCAAAGTGTCACACTTTGTGGTTACGTCCCCGTTGTGTTGAGGGTTACCTGGAGGGGTCTCGAGCACAGGCAGCTCTGGCTGCCCTTCTCCCGGGCACCGGCTCTCTGGACTGGCCGCGTCCCCATCCAAAGCTGCAAGCGCGCAAGGGGCCTGTGACAGTCGGTGCTGATGGATCAGAGAACCTCCCTCCAGGAAATGGAAGGACACTGATACGTGTGGAGAAACAAGCAGAGAAGCAACCCAATGGAGTGCAGCTGCTTAAACTGAAGTAGCTTTGGGTTGTTTGGCTCCATCCTGCTCAGCTTTCAGCCCGAATGCCTCATCCCTCCCCTATCCTTTGAGGTCCCAAAGGACTCGCATCTGGGGTCTTTGTGTAATGCCTCCAATAACAAGAGCTGTGTAATTTTAGGAAACGATATTACCTTCAGACCACGCTTCAGTTTTCTGCAGGAAGTAACATCTCCTGGAACTCTCTCCATTCCTCCGCCAAGCCCTTTAGCTTCTCATTCACATATGGAAACATCTGTGGTATTTCTGTTCTCCTCATTGTCCAGTCCATTTGAGTAACCTACTGAGGAAGAAAATCCTTTTCATACGTGAAGTCAGTAACACTGTTCTTGTGGCAACTCGTGGTGGGAGTGGATTCCTGTGAAGATGTCTCCATATGGAAAGCTGGGTGTTCCCTCCTCCCAGGCCGTTGGAACTAACCTGTTTTGGGGGCTGAAGTTTAACCTTCCATCTTCGTCCCCAGTTGAAGGCTTCTTGCCATACCTGCATCCAGCCTTACTAATCTGCAGTGTGTGTGGTGACTCCTTGCAAAGTGCCTTGTACCCATGAGGATTCTTCTGCTGGTGCTTTTTATTCGTGTTGGTATGAGGAACAATGTCCAACTAATACTTTTATGCTTCTGCTCTGTAGTCCTGCACGTGTTAAGATACGTGGCCAGCTATGGCTTGGGAATCGGAGCACACGGATATGAAGCATCTGCACAGCAGTACAGGAGACAGAAAAACACATCTCCAAACAGCTCCTGCAACATGGGGGGCATCTTGTTTGAAGTCACTCAGAATGTCTGTGCGGCTGCCTTGGCTGTGCCACCTCCAGGTTGCTTTAGAAATGGGAATTTTCTGACTAAACGGTGTTGGAATTCTCCATTTCAGTGAGCCTGTCCTGCCAGCTTCTCCTTAAAAGGAAAATACTTTGTCTATTTTGCAGACCAGAAACTTGCAGGCACCGCTTTCCATGTCAAAGAAAAACCCTCGCAGGAGAAGCCAGTGTGCTCAGTGAATTGAGCAGAAGCAATTTCTGTATAAAAATCTTCTGATGCTGAGTTCCTATTTCAAACACATTCCAAAAACTATTTTCAATGCTCTGCTAGTGTTTGCCCAAGAAGGCGCATGAGCTTTTTGTTGGACATGGAAAAGTGCAGTACGATATAGCTCCTGTTAAATGGATATAGCTCCATTTTGTGCCCCGTAGGAGCCTCCGATCCGTGCACGGGTGAAGTTCCCAGCTGAGAGCGTGCGCGAACGGGGAAGCGTCTCTGCGACGCGCCACAAGGAACTCCAGGAACTGCCCATTTGTTTTCTCTAGTTAAACGATAGTGGGGATTTCAAATAGCTGGGAAAAGAAGTTATGTGGCTGGCCTGCTGAAGAAGGGTGAGGAGGATATACAGGAGCCAAATGGCTTTGTCAGCTTGGCAGTAGATGAATATTTTTTCACCTTGTCTCTCTGGACAGCAGTCTAAATACGGCATGGGAGGGACAAATGTTAAGCGATGCGAAGTGCACTGTTCTCAATGGTACTGGCATTTTGCACTTCTCGTACAATCTTTGATTTTTCAAGTGCTTTATATGCAGAAGCCTGCATGGGTATGACTAAATCTGTCCTCCCAAAACCCAAGCAGTTTTGAGACTGCTAGAAACCAGCTGCGAAGCCATGGGCCTTTTCCCCCAAGTATGGGAGGAAATTTGTCTCGGGCTGTTCAAAAAAATCAGCGCTAACCACCTGCCCAATTTTAAGAAAACTCGTTGAATTTAAGGACAATGCCCTGAAGTTAGTCTTGTTGCTTTTGAAAAGCCTTACTGATAAATAATCTGAATTTAACCTTACCAGGTGAGACTGTGAAGTGAACCAGCCTGGGTTCAGTTACCCAGCGTAACCAGCAAAGTCTGAAACTCTTGTGCTGGGTTTTTTAAATGAAAGTTGATTTCTTTTTTTCTTCATTAATATTTACATTTAACATTACTCTATAAATTAAATAGCTCCTGACTTTCTAATTTTAACATGGCATGTAATTTTTTAAATTGCCCTGCATTAAGGCCTGTTTTCATGCATTCTTCATCAGACTTGTGCCTTATTCACATCAAGTATTTGCTGTAATTTCAGATGTCGTAAGTTGCCCTGTTCAAAGTATCTTGCACGCACAGGATGACTCCTCTCTTAAGATGCATCAAAAAGCAGCTTTGCCCGCTGTCTCCGTAGGGTTTCATCCTAGCAGAGCCGTGCTCACACCTTGCATGGAAAGGGGTCCTGCTGCAGACAGGAGGTTTTTCTTACATGGAAATCAGCTTTTTCTGCTGCAGAGCGAAAGCCCAGAGATAATGTTTGCAGACTATTTAACTTCGAAGGCTTTTCTATGTAGAAAATGGGTTTGTTTTGAAACCTCAGAATAAGTGGATGAACCAACTAGTAATCAGAAACAAATTGCTTCAAGAAATGGTAGCTGGCTTCCTACATACTGTCACAGGACATGCAACTAACTCTGTTAAGTTGAATAGCGTGTAAAAAGCAAGTAACAATGTTATGCAGAAATCTGTAGAGATATTTGATATTTTTTTTCAAAAAAGAATGGTCTAAATCTTTTTTTTTTCCCCCTATAGGGAAGCTGATTGCTAAGGTGTTGCCTTTGCTGGTGGTCAGCAGTTTTCTTGTGACTTCTTGGTGTTTTCCCAAATTAGTGCAGTGCCCTTCCTTGTGTAGCCTCCTTCCCTTCCCCGCTTCCTCTGCCTTTTAGACTAGTGCGGCGCAGTCGTCGTGGAGGTTTGTTGCTATTTAACATTCCCTTGTTTCAGAGCCCAGGATCAATGCCAGCGAGGACGTCACCATCCATCAGTATGGGCCCGCCGTGACACTGCAGTGTAACCTCAGCACGAGTCCCAGCCCCCTTTCTGCCAGTTACTGGGTGAGGAACGGAGAGGAGATCCCCGGCACCAGGAAATCTACCAACACTACAGAGTACAAGTGAGTCCGTTCGGAGCTGCCGTGATCCTGCCCTGCGGAGCGACAGACTTGGTAGCTCTATGGCTCCGAGAAACGGTGGGATGTTGGGACTTCGCAGCATTAGGCTGTGTGGGGTGACCAGGCTGCCTTAAGGCTCCCTACGTGCGGGTGGGAGTCCTGTTAGAAGGAAGGTGCCGGAAAGGTGGTTGCCTGTAGCCCACTCGATTGGTTTTCTGCAAACACGGTGTCTGCATAAACGTAACATCAGTTTCTTTGGCAAGTAGTCCGGAAGTTCAGGGTAAGCTCCTGTAGTGCTCCTCTAGATTGCACGTGACGCAGGCACAGACAGAGTCTAGAGTTCTTTTCTCTTGAGTATATTGTGCAGTCTATATCCTGCTTATGTTGACATTATGTCTACATTTGTAGCTGTGAATTCTTATCACGCAGGGAAGACGCTGCACGTAAATCACTGCTGAAATCAGCTCTGTTAGTTGTCTTCTAGCCATGGAAGATGAAAGACTGCATTCCCGAGGTGTCACTGATGTGTAGTCGGAGTACTAAGAAATTTTACCAAATCTTGATTGAACCAGTACAGCTCTATCACTTGTGCTTCGTATTTGTCAGTGCATCCATGTTTTGGTCATTAATCCGTTTCCCATGTGCAGGTTCTGTCTCTGTATGGTCTGTCTCAAGAGAGCAGAGTGCAGTCAGCCCCCTTCTCCATTTTCTTGTAGGATAAATTCTTTGAGGGCTTCTGCATTCCCAAGATGGGACTTTCTTGCTGTGCAGTTGATTCGCATGTAGGAGGGTTTGCTCACTGATGAGGTCTGTGCTGTTCATGCGGATTTCTTCCCTTATTTCTTTCCCCTTTTGTTCTGTTGATGCCAGCGTAGACGGCTGATGCAGGTTTTTCAGCAGTGTTAAGCTAGAATGGAGAACATTTAAATAATGTTTTAACCACTGGTGGCAACTTGCCCTTTGGAGACACTAGAGCGCTGTCACCACCTTCACCCTCCCGCTAACCTTGTTGCTGGAAGGAGGTGCCTGCATCTGGACACAGCATCTGCTCCCCTGCGCTCAGTCCCTCTGCACTGAAGGATGAAGCAAACCTGAAGCCTTCGGCTTCTCTAGTCTCCAGCAGAGCACGGTGGGCTCTTTATCACTGCACTTGCTTTCTGGCCTTGATTTTAATTGCTGTAGCAGAGTATCCTCCCATGAGGTTATCGGTCATGGAAGTCTTTTATTTTTTATTTTTTTATCCTGACTGAATGTAGGTGTTCAAACTTTTCCTTTTTTTTCCACTTCAAATCATTTTGGATTATCTGTGCAGGTTTGCAATTAGAAAAAGTCTCATTTAGTTCTATAATTACATCCTTTTATTTCTTTGCTGCCTTGTTTTACACTGGGAGTGTTTTAAAGGGTCTGCTTTCTTCCCCCTAATGTTTATTAGGGTCCCAAATCTTATTTAATGAGCAGTCTTGTACCAAAGCACTTGCTTGAGGGATGTGGAAGACATGTCCCTGCAAGATTGTCAAGAATCCCATGTTACTGTCCAAGAAAACAAGCATCAAGGCTGACTCCTCTATAATCTGTTCCATCCTTGGGTGGACCTTTCCTTCCAAGTGCCTCTGTGCAGGAGGAATTAAACTTGCAGTTGTAATTCCTTGCAGAAGGAGTAGGTGGGGAGGATGGTCTGTAAGACGGGCATTTGTTCCTGGTGAATAAGGGTTTTAGTACAGCCCGCTGCAATGCGGGGACTGTTAGAGCATTTGGTGACTTGGTATTTAAAAGGTAGCTCTCGAATTTCTACTCATTTGCAGGCTGCTTTGCTGCATGTTGTGGTTTCAGCCTTTGTGTCCTTTTTCTGCATGGGATTGTTCTGCATTTGACCTGTTCCTTACTCCTTAACTTCAGATGAAGTTGTTCTCTTTTGATCCAGAAATATAATCCTTCTGTCAGTGAGGACTCATGGAAGCAATTTCAACATGAATGTAATTATTACAATTTATTAAATTCAAGCTCGAGAAGCTTTTTTGATATTTTCCATGATTTGCTAAATCTTGTGTTCTGTTTCCCTAGCAAAAAAAGTCTCAGGTTCTTGGTGTTTCAGACTTGAGTTTATTTGCTGTAAAATACGGCTAGTGCTTCAAGTACAGCCTTGTGGACCATCCAGAACTCACGGGTGAAAACATCCTCTTAGAAAGTCCTGCCTCATGTTGTATTAACATGGAAGTCATGTACCGTTGGAGATGGAACACATTCTCCCCAGTTCTTTGTTCAACCTTGATAAAACTATTCTTGCTGGAATGCAGCTGTACTTGGAAAACCCAAAGCATGGCTTTTCAGCAAAGCTTTTTAATCCAAAATGATCAAGAGTTGTTAGAACTGTATTCTTTTCCAAGCAGTGACAGCAAGTGCTTCTGGATATCCCGTAGTTTGAGGATCGTAGAAGTGGCAGGTGGCAAAGCTGTCACCTGGTCTTCACTTGTACTTCGGAAGAGTTAGCACTTCTACCTTCCTACTCGGCTAATTCTGAGTTAGGTGACATGTTGCTGAGCTAAATGGAAGAAAATACTACTTGCATCTGCTGAAAAATTTGCAGCTGTGAAGAGATGGACCCTTCTAAAACCACGGGACTGAGGGAAACCATTGGCCAAGCGACTTTGGTTCAAGGGCTTCTGTGTCCTTAAGACTTTGCAGCCATACCAGTTTGCACTTAAGTGCTTTAATGATTTATGGTAAGAATACTCCAGCAATAGGCTGCCATAGTTTCATCCTTTAAAAATCGACCTCCGTAGAACTGATGGAATGCAACGTTTGAGGTATTCCCCGTGTTCCTTAAACATTGCCTGTAGTGGATAAAAACTGACGGGTAGAGCGTGGCTTGAGCAAGCCCTTGCCTGCCTGGTAGACAGAAGCTGGGCACGTGCTGCTCTCTGCCAGCCCCGGCAGCAGGTTGGGAGCGAGGGACATGCTTGAGTCCTTCACCTCTCTTCACTTGGGCTCTTCTCAGGGACACTTCGCCTGCATCCAGCTGAAGTTACAAATATTGCCGTGCTGGTCAATGCTAATTGGAAGCAACTGCTGCTTGTCTTGCTAAGTCTTTTAATGCTAACTCTAAAAAGTGGGTATATAATTGGCTCTCTGAAAAGTTTCTTAGCTTTTTTTATAACCACCTTTAGGCTTTTACTGGTGGCTCTGGAAAGTAAATGCTGTAAACATGGTGAGACTTGAGTTTTAAAGTATTGTATCAAACTGCAGCTTTTTTTTTTTTCCACATGTGCAATTTAATTCTTTTATTACAGTGTGCTACAAGATTTATGTTCATCTGCATGCATTTCACTTAATGTCCTTAAAACAAAAGAACACCAAGCTGCTTTCAGTAAAGGAGGGTTGGGAAGGTATAGCGGTTTGTTTTATGCTATGGAAATGTGATATTGGAATAAAGATTCCATATCACATCATAGTATGTTTCCCTGCTCTAAGAAAGAAGCCTTTTATAGGTAGATATCTGAGGGGTATCTACAGACCACGTCAACTTAGTCATGTCCAAGAGCTTTTTGACGGACAGCAAAAGCTGGTGGGCTTGAAGTTTGCACCACGTTTAACAAATTCTTTGTTTTTGTGTTTACTGCAGCTCCGTTTTTTTTCTGGCTGACCTGCATCTGTTTTTCCCTCTGTTTGTTGTTGTTGCATCAGGGTCTTTTGGAATTTGAAGTGGCTGCAGACCCCAGTGCAGTGTTTTGCTTTCGTGGCTCGACCAGCTTTTGCAGTTTTCCCATGTCCAGTCTGAATTGGAGAAGACTGTTAATGGGCCAGTTCCATATCTGTTATTAAAAAAGAGAACAGCTTCTGAGATGATGCTGACAGTGCCAGCCTTGGTTATATTTGTAGTCTCTCACATTTCAATTTGATCTGCTATAAATCTTTTCTGTGCAGATAGCATGTGTAAATCACCTTCTTCTCTCAACAGAAGGTCACACCTGCCTAATTTTCCAAGCAGACTAGTGGCTTGAAGATGTCTTGCATCAAACTGCAGTGTATGATATAACAGATTTCAGTCTCCTTCTTTGCTTTTAAGCTTACTGTAGCTTCTCTAGGTAAAACGGTACTGACTTTTCAGACTTTATCCTTTCTCTAGTCAAATGACATACATACTTTAAGTACGTGCACCAGCACAACATGCCTTAAATTAACCGTTTATAGCTGTGACATTCAGTTAAAAGATGAAAGTCTTTGGGGAAAGAAAGAACTAATTCCTCGGCTGCTCACTTGGGGTTGCTAACACGGTACCTAACGCGGCTCATGTGTTCTCTCCCTGTCTGCAGGATTCTGAAGCCCAGAGCAGAGGAGTCAGGGGAATACTTGTGCGTGTTTGTGTTCTCAAACTCTCCCGTAGCCAACGCCACTATAGAAGTGCGAGGTACTCTTTTTGCTTTGTTCTTGCTTCTTCTCCCCAAATGTTTGATGTACTTTCACTGTCTTTGCTACCTCACTTGGTGTCCGTACAAGCCAGCTAACCTAAGTGGCCTCTCCTAACACAGTTTCCTCTTGAATTTGTGCCTGTATCCATCTAATCCATGGTTGTAATTTCTGGGAAATCCCTGCACAAAATCCCAGGGAGGATCCCGCAGATACAAGATTTTGTACACTGCACTGATGATCCTTGTAGAGGGCATTTAAACACCTTTTACACTGAATGTGCCTGTGCTGAGGCAAAGACATCTGTGGTTTCTCCCCATTTCACAGTATGGCAATAAATGAGGCCTTCTTCTGAATGTGTTTGAAATACTTTGAATTTCTGCGCTGTTCTTGAATGAAAAAGCGTGACCCAGCGTCTCGAGTGGTGTGGCCGGAGCACGGCTGCGTGTCTATGCACGCCGCGCTCCGGCGGCCGGGAAAGCTTCCTGGCCGGACAGATGCCCCATACTGCACCGGTGGGATGTTCTGCTTCCATGCACACTTTCTGCCCTGTGCATTTAGTGCTGTTCTGCCAGACAAGGATTAAGGAGAGAAAGTGCAAAATGACAAAATTGCCCCAATGAGAATGTTGCATTCCAGCAAATCCACGCGCCTTTGACTGAGTTTTTCTAAAGATGTTGGACAAGAGAAGTGTTTCTTTTATAGATATACAAAATGGTGGCAGCATGGAGGCAGTACTGTTTCATGCAGTATATATAAGCTGATTTATAAGCTGTTACTAGATTGCAGTTATTTGTTCACTCAAGAGTGTGAAATTACTGGCCCACACAGGGATCTGGCTGACTTCTCTGCATTTGCCACTCTTTTCCCCTTGTAGCAATGCAGAATTGATGCAGTGTCAGCTTTTTTTTTTTTTTTTAATCAAAGATGATTGCAAAGATTTTGCAACCAGTTTATGCATGTCTGGAATTGCACTGATGCTTGTTTTGTGAAGGTGTATTGTAAATTTGTTTGAGACCTAAATTAGCATTACGTAACTATCTTCATTACGTCTCCATCTCAGATGTAGAACTTCCTCTGCTGCTGTCTGGCCAACAGCAAGTGGCAAGGAGGGGGTTTCATGTTCACTCCCGGTGTCCCTGTACCAGTTCTTGATTTATTGCGTGATTGTTGTTTGAATTGGGCACCACAGATCTGCAGTAAAAGCCAGCATTCACTGTCCTGGCTTCGGTGTTTTTTTTTGCATTCTGCTCTTACGTTCTTATTTTGCCAGTCTTCTAATACTTTCTTATTCAAGACTTCACTCCTTTCTACGTTTTCCAGTGTGCTTACAAGGGTGACAGCAGCCACTTCCAGGGATGGGAAATGTAGCTTTGCTAGTGGATTGCGTGAGACCTTCTCTGTCAGAAGGTCTTGGAGAAACATTTGGCTTGAGGCTCCTCTGCCACCCCGGGGTGCCTGGGAGCCCGCAGCCCCCAGGATTACAGAAAGAAAATTCCATGTCTGTGATTGCTGCTGCCTTTTGTGTTAGGAGTTCAGAAGATTAACTGCTCATACTACAATTTTCCATGCATCTCTGTGTCTAAATCCTACCGAGTAACGATGGGTTAGAGGTCACGGCTCCAGCACCACGCCTGGGAGCTGTGGAGCTTTTCGCTTGCTCAGCAGTCGTAATCGGAGGACTCCTTAGCGCTGTTCCCTGGCTCCTCCTTTCAGCGTCACAAGAGTTGCTGCTTGGCCTTGAATTTTCCCTGAACGTGGCGAAATATCACGGGTTGTCTAGCGTGGGAAGGACCCTGTCAAGTCCTCTGCAAAGCAAACTGCAGTAGGTGTATTTTTAAACTGGAGACGTGTTTTCTTCTCTAACTTCTATTAAATAGAAACTTGTGCGGTCTAAGTTTACCACTTAAAGCATGAGTTAAAGAACTGCTTGTAGCTTCCCCGCAATCCCAGGGCTGCACATAAATTCGGTCTGATCTGGCAGTGTTCATTTAAGCTGCAGCTCTTGCAAGAGCTGCACAGCCAGAACTTGTACGCTGGGACAGACGTTCTCTTGGATATAAACGTCCGTGGATACCGTTGGTGCTTGTTGCACAGAATACGTGAGATTTTTCACTTTGCCAAGGAGGGAATGCTCTGCAGTTCCTGCAGCCCGGGGTAGATACTGTCCACATCTTGCTGAAGCAGTTCTTGTTCTGCGGTCAAGCTGATTTCAATATTTCTTAATCTGTGGACGTGCTAAATTCTCCTTAATTGAGAAATATGTAGGTACGTGTTTGACTGTGCAGGTGCTATCGTTTAATGCTTCCCAGCATGTGTAGGCTCTCATGGTGTTTGTCCACAAGCGACTGTACACGATTTTAATGGCTTAACTGGTGACTGTAATTGTGCTGCACTTGTTAATTGCTGATGCAGATAGAAGATGGTTCTGAATCTGAAAGTGCCTGTGGACTGAAATAGCAACTTTTTGACAACCTGTGAACAACTTTAACAAATACCTCGCAGCAAATGAAAGCCAAGATACACCAGTGCCATTTGCTTTTTATGTAATATTGCCTATATTCTTTCTGCAAATCTTGAGTACTGTCTGTATGAAGATAAAAATGCAGAAACACAGATATTGCTGTTAGATTGCTGCGTGTGCTTGGTATCGAAAAGAGCTGTCCTTGGCTGAGGAATTGGTAAGCTAGAATTGGTATAAAAGCTGCTGAATTAAATACTGAGATTTACTGGTGGTCCTGGGGAGGTCCCAGAAATGACTTGAGTCCCTCTTCGCCAACATGCTCAGCTCTGGATGAAGGGCCTGGCGTGGTGTTTGCTCCTCCCAGAGCTGTTGGAGGGTGTTGCACGAGCACAGCTTTAACCAGGGAACCGTAAGCCCAGCAAGTGTGGATATTCCAAGGCCTCGGCCTGGGAATAAGGGTCTTCCCCCCGGTTTTGCTTTGGTGGCGAGGTCGGCTGGCCGAGAGCGACCAGCCCGCGCTGGGTGGTACAGGTGCTCTCAGCAGGGCTGTGAGGATGGTCAGAGTCTCTAGGCTAGGTGCTGATGACTTTCTGTCTCAAAATAACCAGGTTTTAATTCCTCAGTTGCCACAAAGTGGCAGCGCCTGTGGTGGTGCTCCAGCATTGTTACTATGCTGGAGATCCCCTGAAAACTTGAAGACTAAAACACAAAACCTCTGCAGCTCTTCAAAGGGTGTTCTCTTTGCAATCCTTCTGCTCTTACCCAGAAGTTGGGAGGAAGAGGAAACGAGTCCACCCTGGGTCTTCCGATGCTCTTCAACCCGCAGCCCTGGGCAGGGCAGCAGCAGGGTGCACGCGATGGGGCAGAAGAACAAGCTTCGACTCCCCTCTCCCGAGTGCGAGGTGGGGACGTGTGCGTGGCATCCATCTCCTCTGCCCCTCTTCTCTTTTTGTACCCTGGAGAAGCAGAGCTTTCCGCTGCCTTTTCCTAGAAAGCCTTCCTGCCATCCCTGGATCAAGGGAGGTCGTTCTTATTCTACTCCTCACTGCCCACTCCAAAAAGCTTCTCCCGTTCCTGCTGCCGCTGCCCAGTTAATCGCTTTCCCAACAGCAGAAGCTTCAACAAGTCTCACTGCTGCTGTGAGAGCACAAAACGGTGAGGCCCTGGGCTTATGCTGGGCCAGAGGCTTTTGTGTCACGCAGGTGCTACCTGCACCCGGAACACGATGCTTCAGCCTTCCCTCTGCTCCCAGCCCAAGGGGCAGGCTGGAAAATGAATGGCTAATTCCGCAGCCTTGGAAGATCTGGGTTTCTTGTTTCTTGTCTGTCCCAGGAAACGCCCACAGCAATTTAACGATGTTGTATCAGAAGTGAGTTAAGAGATCTGGCATTTTCTCATCACAGCTGCGTGTTCGTGTTGGTTGGTCCTATACATTAAAAAGAAAAAAGAAGGAAAGAAAACCCATTTTTCATGTTCACCGTTTTTGCAGTGCACTTAATGTGCTGCTTTGGCTCTGCACCCAGGCTAATAAAGACAGAAACTGGTAAGAATTCTAATGCAGAGAAATAGGACTTCCAGAACCCTTTTACTAGGTCATCTTTAAGTCATACCAGTTTTGACATGCAAGAATATTTTTAGGTGCCTTTGCCCTTGCTTTAATTTTGTATTTTAATGGGAAAACTTGAAGGGTTTTTGTTAACTGGGCCATGGTTGGGAATTACGTGTTTTTAGTTCATCTCTCCTTTTTAGTAACTCTGTCAAATATCTTGAAAATAACCTCGAAAGAAAGGACTTCTTTTATTTAAAAAAAAAAAAAAAGAAATGACATTGCTTGTCCTTCAACAACAACATAAAATTATCTTCAGGTCTGTTTGGAAAGAATACAATTCCTAAAGTAGCTGTTCAGTGCGTTTTGTGCCTCGTGTGCACTTGGTGCTTGAAGCTGCAGAGTTTACTTGGGCACAAAACCCATTTCTTTTGTGATGCTTTTTAAAACTATCAGAACAATGATTCTTATAAGAAGTTTACTTTTCTGTTAAGAATGGCTATGCCTATATTTAGCATTTTTTTAAGCAATTAAATCCTGCCTTTCTTTGCTTTTCTATTTGGTGTTTCAATCAAGTCTTCAGACTTTCAGTATTTACTTGTCCTGTTCATGATTTAAGAATAAAAACCCTGCTTTATTTTGTCAGGGGCATTGGATTTGGTTTCACTGATGTTGGGAGCTGATGGAGAATGCTTTGTGCGCAGCTCCACGACAAATTTCATCTGAACAAGGAAGTGAATTCTGCTGAACGCTGCCGCGTAAAAGCAGAAGTGAAATCCAAATCCTTTATGAACAAAACTGCTTCATTCCGTACTCGTATCTTGCTGGCACGGAAGCAGAATGGTGCAGGACATCTGACTAGAAAGGCTGCATGGGAGACATTGCTCTGTTGCTAATTCTGTGATTGAGGTCAGCTGCAGTGATACCCTAATTGTGGTTTGCACAGCAGAATGCAATTAGCCACACAATTCTGGTAGAATAAGTACTGGATTAATATCTCGGCCATAGCTTGAAAGCGGCTAGCATAAGATGCGTGAATATTAATATTCCATGTAGAGCTCCCCTCGGACTGTGCGCAAAAATAGTCACTGTCAGCGGCTGCTGCGTAGCCGTGCTCAGGGACCAGAGAAGCAGAACGTGTTCTTGTTGCTGGTGCTCTCGCTGGGACAACCCAGCAAAGACGCCCTCGTCGTGCAGAAGCGCGATTCCCTCGTGGCCGCAGGAGAACGCTGGGTCACGGTGCCCTGGAAAGCCGCTCCCGTAGCCGTGGGGAGCCTGGGGCAGCGGTGGCCACGGCCCCGCGCGCCTGTGGACGGGAGGGCACCGTAAGTGCTGGCACATGGAGCCCGTGGGGGGCTTCGCTCTGAGCTGACGAGCCCCACTCCTTCCTCATTGGAGTCATTTGCAGCTGCTCTTGACACCATGGGTGCTGCTGTTGGGGCTGTCACCTTTGTCACCTGAAGTCTGTCTCTCATGCTCCGCTTCTGCTGGCCTTCCGTTAAGTTGGAAGTAATTGCTACGTATCAGCAAGGAAGGAGAAAATCCCAAGGAAGTCCCAGGGCCTCTTTAGTTTCTGCTTAAGTGAAAGCTTTGCAAACTTAGCAAGGATGAGATGAGACCTTTTAATAGATCCTGAGATGAAATCAGTTTTTCTGAAGAACCACCTTCTTTAAGAATAAATATAATCCTCTTTTTGAGGCTGTAAACAGTATTTCTGAAGTACATTGTAGCTGCTTAGTGATTCTTAATAAGATGTAGTGCAGCCCTCTAAAGCAGATTTCTGCTTAGAGACTTTCACCATGAAAAAATAATTTCTTAGAAATATTGCCTCTCCTTGGCGCAGGTAGTGTCTGTGGTCACTTAGCAAGCCTGGAATGTTCTTTCCCTTCCAGCTTACTTCAGTTTAGATATCTGTAAGCTATCTGTAAGTCCTAGCACACTGGGGTTATTTGTCACGGTTCTGGCCAGCAGCACCTGCAAACAGTCAGCGTTTGTCTAAAAGCTTCCCCTGATCTTGCTGTACCTTTTATTACACCTGCTGAAAGCTGCTAGCAAAGCTCTTGTTTGTCCATGGGAATACTTAAGACTTGATTCGAGTCATTTCTCAATCTTATGCTATGTATGACAGCGATGTTAGAATCATGGTATTTCTCTTAGATAATGAATAGCCTTTTGCTTGAAATAGGCAAAAGATCAGGAGAAGAGCTTTTTTAACGTGTTAAAATGCTTTCAAACGCCATAAACACCTTAGGGGCCCTGCCAGAAGAGCCCGGGAGCCCAGGGGCTGGCGGCAGCGTCTCCTGCCCCACGCGGCAGTAGGAGCCTCTGCAGCCTCTCCATCCCCGGCAGCTGCCACGTCGGAGCAAACCCGGCCCTAGGATCCAACCCTGGGCACTGGGGTTTGTGTCAGCAGCAAGTCCAGGCTCTTCAGTGACAAGTGGTCTCTCTGTGCAGAGGGGACAGGTCATCAACTCTGGTTTTTAAAAAATACCTAAGTAAATTCAAGAGGCTGCGTCCACGGATGTCTCCTGATGGGGTCTTTCAGATGGACAGACGTGTACTAAAGAACGCTCTAGCCTAGGTATCCTGGTGAGCATGGGGCTTGGTGGTTCAAAACCCTCTTCTGTGCTTCCTCTAGCAGCATTCTCTCTCTGCTGCATTCCTGTTGGGAGGAGGTCTGCCAGGAGTGATATTTTCTGCTTTTGAGAAACTTGTGCATTTGAAATACAATTCCCTTCAGCACCTAGGCTGACCGAACGCTTTCCCAAAGGGTTGTGATGTAATTCGGGGAAGAGCAGCAAGTTGCTCAAGATGTTCTGCTTTGTTTTTTCATTGCTGCGACTGATCGGAACGGTGAAACTTGTCTATTTTTTTGTTTAACTTGCGGTTGTGGATGTGCTGTCATGAGCAACCGCTCCCTTTCCAGCCCTCACTGCAGGGGCTGTTAGTAATAAAAGAAAGTTCCCCTGGAATAGACCCTTGTACTAAATTCCCGCACCGGAGGGTCTGTTCCTGGAGCCCTCGGATTGGACTTTGACCGGATTAACAGATCAGTGCCCAGCGGTCACACAGCAGGCCACGTGTGACATAATTAGCAAACTAGAAAGCGAATGGGCTTTGGAGGTGGTCACTCCAGCACCGAAGCCATCTGCTTAAGGAAAGGTTCAGCTCGGGCAGCGCCCTCAGCCTGCGTAATCCCCCGCGAGGTATTAGGCTGCTGTGACAAACGTGGCAGAGGGAGCCATGGGCAGTATTTACAGAGAAATGAATTGAGAACACCCTCCGCTCGTATCCGGGGCTGTGTTTTGCTCAGGGTTTCCCCCAGCTTATCTGCAGCTTTTCCTGGAGTATGTGTTTGTGTGCAGGCTGAATGAGAAGATGCTGTTTTGGGGAGGGATTTTGACTTTTGCTTCGTTTCTGGTATCTGTCAGCTCCAAGGAGTGGTATCGCTGCAGGAAGTGTGAAGTGTAACAAGTCATAGCATGTCATTGGATCAAAACTAAATTCTGTCTGAAAGGACTGAGCTTGATTTGAGCATTCAGACGTCCACGTTAGGACAGTATCAGTTCAGTCCTGAAACCACCATGGCAAGTGGTAACCCGAGTCCCTGGCAGGCTGAGAGCACCTGCAGAACCACTGGGACCTTGTGAGCGGGGAGGGAGGCGGGCAGCTCCTGGGCTCCCCGTGCTGGCCCTTCCTGGGCTTGGGCTTTGGCTTTGCAGGTTGGCGCTTTTTGGTAGGTAACTGAAGTTTGGTGTGGAGATTCTCCTTTGTGCCCCTCACCTTGCCTGGCAAAACGATCCCCAAGGCCTTGCTTGCAGATCTGCAATTGAGATGCTGGTTGGAGGGAGAAGGAAATCGCGATTTCCCTTTTGTAAGTTGGGTTCAGCTTGGGAAAGGCGACCACCTCCAGGGAACTTGTCACTTGCATGTTCTATTCCAGTTCTCAGGGCTTCAGATTGTTACTTCTGCAAGGAGCAGCTTATAAACACAGAGCTTTTGTTTTCTTTTGCAGCTATTCCTGATATCACTGGCCATAAACGAAGCGAAAATAAAAACGAGGGGCAGGAGGCAGTCATGTACTGCAAGTCCGTGGGCTTCCCGCATCCCGAGTGGGTTTGGCGCAAGAAGGTCAATGGAGTTTTCGAGGTAGGTGGACTGTGACGTTGGGCACGAGCTGACCTGCTGCGAGCCCCCGTGCAGGTGGGAACGAGCCCCTTCATTCTGCGGTGTGTGGGTACCTTGTAACGTCTCAAAATGCTGTTCCCCAAAGTCTAAGACATCAGCAAGTGAGGTAGAAACTTTCCAGTAAAGGTGAATAAAAAACAAATTAATATTTGTGACTTAATTGCACAAATAGCGTTGCTTATTGCGTTGCTACTGGATGAAGCTATGAATTGCCAAGAAGGATGTGATATTCAGGGTGCCTGCTACAAGTTAAAAAATTGAGCTGTGAAGTGTGCCTTAAAAATTCATTTAGCTTTAAATTCCTTAAGCTGTTTTTCAGTTTTACGGGTTGAGCTTTACTGGTTGGACTTACCGTGAGGATGTGACAGCGATACCTTTTCACATGAAAGCGGCCATGTCTTCCCTGTGGCAGCAGGTCTGTTGAGCAGCAGATTTTATCCGCAATTGAAATAGCAGAAGAGAAGTTGCAATCTGTTAAGTCCTGGCACCTCTTCATTTTCACATCTATGTGTGATCTGCCATAGCCATAATGACTTGCTTGATACATTGGGGAAAAAATGATCAGTAAGTAATAGGATGGTTTGATCGTTCACTGTTAGGTGCCAGGTTAAATTTTTACGAGGACACTGAGCTGAACTGCTCTATGAATTGCCTTACTCAGTTTTGCCAAAGTCCCTTTGTGGTTCTGAAGATCCCTGGGCATGTTTTCTTCCAGGTTATCAAATAACTTGAAAATTATTTGGTAAATTCATCCAAAATTAACTTTCAGAAAGAACAAATTTGTCTGTCCTCTTGTGCTTTACTCTACCAAGATCTTGCCCCTATAAAAAACTTGAAGCTCAGGCAGCTCTGGAACTCTTTGCTCCAGATGTAGAAGGGACGTGGTGCCCCAAATTCCATGTTGCTTGTCAGCCAAGATAGCAAGCTCTTTATTTTGAAGGAAAATTCACTTTAGAGGATACAGAGCAAATGCTGGCAGCAGGCTATTCTGTTGTGTGAAGAAACCAGCTTCTTTGCAGGAATCCCTCAGACTGCTTCAGCTTCTATTACGGAAATAAAAAAGAAAATTCTCTGTCTTTCCTCTTCCATCTTTCTCCTTTTATCAGGACATCAACAACTCCTCTGGCAGGTTCTTCATCACAAACAAGGACAACTATACTGAGCTCAGCATCACAAACCTGCAGATAAACGAGGATCCTGGCGAGTACCAGTGCAACGCGACCAACATGATCGGCTCTGTGTCTGTCACGACCATCCTCCGTGTCCGCAGCCACTTGGCTCCCCTCTGGCCCTTTTTGGGGATCTTGGCAGAAATCGTTATCCTCGTTGTCATCATAGTTGTTTATGAGAAAAGGAAGCGGCCGGATGAAGTCCCAGACGGTAAGTGTTCTCAAAGCCCCTAATGAGAAGAAAAGGAGGAAAAACAAAAGGAGAAGATGGGGAGGGGGAGGCAAAGAGGACTTAAAGCAGCAGAACAGACTGGGCTTCGTAGAAGGAAGGGTCAGCAGTGCAGTGGACCTGTGCACTCCAAGCGCTCTGCAGAGTCCCTGGGTTTCTTCAGGTCCTCATGGGGGGCAGTTATTTCGAACATCCTTTAGAGCTTTTGTTGCAGAAGGTTGGCCCGCTGCCACCTCCTGCCTGTGCTGCTTGGCTCCCCTTGGGATGCTGCCCGTCAGCCCTGAGGAGCGTAGGGAGACAGTGTGAAACCTGCCTGGTGCTCCCTCTGGCAGCTGGCATCCGCTTGGCAGCGGGCAGCTCTGAGAGAGAGTGTTCCGCAAAGATGGCTAAAAACATGAAATGTCTTTCAACAACAACAAAAAATGAGGCAGGGGGTGCTTGGTCTTTGGTGCATAACTGAGTTTTAATGAATTTCAGAAATGCTCTGGGGGTTTTGTCTAATTGTAACATTTAGGGGTTATATTTTCTAAAAATTATGTTATTTTACCAGATTTGATGGTAGTATTAATAACCGTGTGTGGTATACGGTAAAATTATATTTGTTTTATCTTTGAGTTTCTGCATATCTTCCTCTTCTAAATATGAGGAAAGGGGCAGTCTGAGGCTAAAATGAGTATTTGAAAGCACCGACTCAAGGAACAGACTGGAGTGTAACACCTAGTTGCTTACTGCAGTGTTTAGCAGGCAGTCCTGCCCCAGGGTCCGTGTGAGAAACGGATCATAGGCCCTTCTGCTTACTGCAGAGCCGTGCCGCATTCGGATGGAGCACTGACTCACTGGGGGGAAGCCCTGAGTCACTGGGGTTCCCCAAGGCTGGTGGAGCCTTCCAGCACTCTGCAAAACTTCCCAAGGGAAAAAGCGTTGGAGCTTGTGCAGCTCGACAGCAACGAGTCGGTGCTGCACGAGATGCCAGCGGCACAGCAAGACATTTGCCTTTTGGGATGAAGATTCAAGTGCTGAAGCAGTGATCTGCTTGTGAAGTTGGGGCAAAAACATGATTCTGAGCTATAATTCAGAGAAGGGGAAGGGAAGCAGGAGTGTTACTAAGCAGAGGACAAATTTTAATACTGTCTCCAAATGGCTGAGGTTTGGATCGCTTCCATAGCAGACTGAAACTTTCTTAAAGAATAATGCATACCTAGAGGAAACTAGCGCTTTTGTTTTATCTTAACCACTTCAGTAGCATTCACTAACTGCTTATAGAGCATGCATTTGAGACCATTTAAATGTTGGTGGAAATGCACCTAGGAATAATGTAGTGCATGTACTTCTGCATAACTAACAGCTTTACCGTTAAGGAGATATTACTGGCAGCAGTTTGGCCTCAAAGTGGCTCTCAGCCTGGGAAACTTCTAAATGTATTTGAAAGAATAATGTAAATGTTCTTTGTGCTTCTCCCTTACTGTTGGGCCATGTTTGCCTAACTGTGGGCACCAGGATGGCCAGGAGAAATCTCACCTCATTGTGCAAATTTTTGTTTGATTAAGTGATTTGATAAAGACTAAAACTTGGTATTAATGGTTGTAATTCAGTATGAAAATACTCACCGTAATCAACTTCAAACGGACTTAATAGAAAAGAAATTGTTTTTGGAAACACTACCCGTTTATTCCAAAGGCTGAAGTTTTCCTGACTGGTCTGGCCACTGTTCAGATGCTTGAGGAATCTCAGAATCATCATCTCTGGCAACGTCCTGATGATGAGCCGAGTAACTGAGGTTACTAATTCGCTTGCTTGGTTTGCTATTATTTTAAAGGCAGCTAAACTTGAGTTGTGGAGAGTGATGGACCTGTGTGGTGGAGATATTCTGCCTGTTTTTCTGGAGGAAGAAATCAAATCCTGATTAACAGAGTCAACATTTGTGTATTAGGTTTGCTTGGATGAAGAGAGACAATTGGCATAAAAGCTACTAAAAGCTGACTTAAGACCTACATTCCCTTGATTATTCTTCTGCTTTTGTAATTGCATTTAAGATTTTCTATGATGTGGTGGGAAACACCCTACAAGCAGGGGCAGCATTTACAAATGTGTTTGTGAGAAATCCTTCAGAGCCTACTGATAACCACACTCGGATGTTTTACTGAAAACTCTGATTACTCTTAAGTTTATTGTTCCTTTATGCACACGGTTATGAAATGCCAAAGTTAATGTTTAATACCACTATATCCTTATTGTTTGGAATTTAAATTTGGTGCTTCCAAAATCATGTTCCCCTCTGCATACTGCAGTGGGCAGGTAACATCAAAGGTCTAAGGTTGGGCTAGTGACCTACACAGATGCTTCTTACAACTTTTCATTAATGAATTACACCGTATTGCTTAGTATAAGTATCATTAGGAACAACTGGGGTCTCTGTAGACTATCAGCTAGTTTCCAAGCTGTTTCAGTGCTGATTTTGATGCTTTGAGCTTCAAGAACAGTGGCTGTGGTTGTGTGAGGCATTCATATGAGGCTGCTGCAGCAAGGAGCAGTGTTGAGCTTATTGAGCTGTTTGTGCTTCTGTGCCTGCATGGGCAGAAGAGTAATTTTCCTGATGGCCCTTTTGGCTGGATTGTATAATTTATCCTTGGATCTGCCCTTTTTTTCCTTGGAATCAGTAAGCTTTCTGAACATAGCTCTCTACCACCCTGCTCCGTTTTGGAGCAAGTATGGGCTCTACTTGGTCATAGGATTTCTCAAGGATTTATTTGTTTTCTCTGAAGCAGCCCATAGAAACGGGCAAAAAGCCGGTCACACTTAAGGATGGATGGATGGATGGATGGATGGATGGATGGATGGATGGATGCCCGGCCGTTTTCCCCTGAACTGCTGCCCAGGGATCGTGGCCGTTGGCTCCCTGCGTCTGCTGCTCGTGAACAGCCTAAATGTCGGGGTGCAGCCTTTGCACTGCTGTCTCGCCACTCTGCAACGCCTCGAGGTGGCCCTTGGGGTGCCTTAGATCCCACCTTTGGGAGATGGAGATGTCTCCCATGCTCAGTCTTTTGTTTTTTTTTTGTTGGAGAATCTAGGTGTGTTGGGTAATGTTTGAGTAATGACTTCTGTGCAGACATAGCACAAAGATGATTTTAGATATTCTTACAGATCCTGAAATAGAAATTACAGCTCTGGAGAAAAATGCTTATGCCAAACTCGGCAACTTCCTCTGTAACAGAACAAATCCAAGCCTTCCGCGGGGAGCGCTCCGTCGGCAGCCCGGAGGCGGCAGGATGCGGCGCGTGCGGCTGCGCCCCGTTTCTCCAGGCCTCGGGCACGTGCCCTGGCCCATGCCGAGCTCGTGCCTTGCAGGTACCCAGGTGACCCGCTCTTTAGGTCGAGCTCAGTTAAGTCTGCACGAGCTACAGGCAGCTGGAGAAGAGAGGATTCAAATCAGGTGCTTTTCTTACCCTTCTCTTAACAATTCGTGGTGCCACCTTCCAGAAACTGCCTTTCTTGCTGCTCCTTCTGGAAAATACTGTACCCGTCTGCTTAGCCTTTCCATAGCTCCAGTGAATTACCAAGTTCAGTGCAGGCCAAGTTTGAAGCAGCATATCCTGAGGGTCCCTGTGCTACCCCCTGACTGATAGAGAACTGTTTTTAGAGGAACGTAATGTTTCTCAGGCAAAGCACAGATAGTTAATCCTTCACCAAACCACATTTATAATGTCACTGGTGTGTTTGCAGTGCACTAATATACAGACAAGAAGGTATTTTTAAGAAATTCACAGAAACAATGTTTACAGCTGCATCAGCCTAAGAAGAAATAAGCATGGTTCATAGATAGAGGCCAGTATCTTTTGGCTAGATAAATAAGCACCAAAACAGGCTTTGAGAACTGATCTGAGCAGCAACACTGTTACTTGCAGGGGGATGTGTCTGGAGGGAAACATTATCTCTGGAGAGCTCGGGAACTCTACCTGGACAGCAAAAATGAGATCAACCGCATTATTTCTTTCCCTTCTCTCTGTGTAACCTTTGTTGCACAAGCCAGAAGTTACCTGTTTCACTGTAGGAGACAACTTTGGGCTAGTTCCTCTCCCCATCCTACCGAGAGCCTTTCTGAGAAGGTAGCTGATGCACTAAAATGGGTGAAGTTGGTTTTGGAGCGGTTCCCACCTTACTGTTGAGCTCTGGAATTCACCCTTGGGTTTCAGCCAGGGCGAGGGTACTGGTGAGCTTCCAAAGATGCCTTTTCCAGTGTGCCAGGCTGGCCTTGGGAAAGGCATCACCTGTGTCTGGAAACACTGCTGTGCTGGAAGAGCAAGGACAGGCCTTTAACTTTGGCATTTCCTGACTGCAGTTTTAACTTTGCATGAACCTTGCTTTTTATATTTGGTTTAACTGCTTTTTCTGCCATGGAACAGGGCTGCTCCGTAGCTCCTTTGCTAATATTTCCTCCTTCACATAATTCAGATGTTTGAGCTTTCTTTTTTCCCCCCCCCTTTTTTTTTTTTTGGTTTCCTGCTGCTGCCTAGCAGAAAAAGGCAGTTCTGAATCCTGTGCAATTTGCACTTCCACACAGAGCTGTGCCAGGATGGTGCTAGTGGCTGCCCAGTCCAGGTCCTGGGTCTGGTACCCGTGGACCAGGGGCACACGTGTCCTCCCGCAGGGGCGGATCTTCTCGCATTCAATTATGTGCTGGGAGGAAGGAGAGAGGGGAAGATTGCGCTTCAATTGCTGCATAATTTCAAAATGGGAGTTTGCCTTGCATTACATATGGTAAAGCAATATGGCTTACATACCTTCTCCAGAGAGCTGAGAGGTTCTGCAAAGTCGTGGTGGTTAAATGAAATGCAGCTTCCAGGGGCTTTTGGTGATGAAAGCTGCATGAAAACAGCATGTTTAGGGCAGAGATGTTGGCACTTCGCTGCATGTGTGATGTGATCAGAGTTTCAGTAGAGGATTGCCGATGCATTTTGCTCAGATTGCAAGTTGCTTGGACCCCATCTTACAATAAAAGGAAGCAAATAGCTGTTTATTCCTCTGTGGTATAGCTTAAGCTGCTTATAGACATAGTCATCGGCTGTTACAATCGCAATATAGTATATCCAAGATTTTCAAAGAAAGTGGTTTGTTGTTGTTGTATCAAATAGCCTGCATTTGGCAAATAAATTGTTTTAAAGGGTGTGTTCTGGGGTAAGTAGAAAGTAAAAACTTGTTGACTGCATTCAGCCTTAAGAATGTAAACAGTTTTTACTTTAAAAATCCATATTCTACATAATGTTTAGCTCAAAGTCTTGTGGTAACTGGGTTATATATAGATATATTTTAATTCTTCCCTTCTCATTTATCATTTTAATAGAAAAGCTTTCCATAAATGTGTTTCTGCTCTGGCTGTGCAGAAGCTTCATCCATATCCCCACATTCTTTCTAATACTCATTTTTTTTCTTGACTTTTCTCTGTTCCTGCTATTACTGTAAGTAATTAAGAAAAATGTTTTCACTTAAACAGTTTACCTTGTAACAAGCTGATTTTTGTTTTGTTTTCTCCTAATTATTGTCATCTTTCTTTCCCATGCCTAGAATTTATCAAGGGAAGAAAGCTGTCAGGTAGACACAGTATAAGACTGTATAGCTGTCAATTGTGCCTAAAAGCAACGATCGCTGTCACGGTGCTGGTCGAATGGTCCTACATAATAACTTGTTAGACACTGTCGTAGGATCAGAACTCCTTAAATCTGGGGAACGGAACTTGCCCAGGTGCTCTTCATTGCAAATCTAGTTCTGCCTTCATTCCATTTCAGAGCAGCTGCTTTCCTGTTTGTCTCCTGGCACCTGATGAGCGTCTCGGTCTTTTACTTACCCTCCCCTGCAAAATATTCCCCGTGAAGCAATACAGAGCCTGGTGTGCGCTGCACATAGTGATGGCAAACGCTGCCCTTAAACATTTGTGTGCAGCCAAAGTCCTAAATTGCCAGTACAGAATGGAACAGCTGCCTTGTAAGAAGGAGTCATGGGCCTGTGACCCATTGGCCCAAGACCGGAGCAGCCATAGGCTTGAACAGAATCTTAACATAGGCATTTTCCTGCCTTTGTGTGTATTTTAATACTTCTTGCATTCACTATTGATATATAAAGGCAGGCTTCACTGTTGTTGTGTGTCAGTATAAGAAACACTGCTGAGGCTGTCTCCTAACCCCTCCTTGTGTAGATTTCTTTAGTTTTCTTGATCTAAAAAAAAAAAAAAATCTTGTAGCAATTTAAAAAGATTGGTTCGATATTAAAAAAAAAAAAAAAGTAATTTTTCAAAAGAAATGGATTTAAGTTAGTAAGCAAAACCTTCTCTAAATTAAGGCTAAAAGAAATGCAGTGCTGGGGACATAGAAACCAAAGCCCTTCTCAGCCTGCTGCAGCAGGTGAGTTGCATGGCCAGACTGTTAATACGCGTATGAGTTGGAGGAAAGCTAAAATACATCTCCTTTGTCATCACACAAACCTAACGTCAAGGGTTTTGCCTAGAAGGATTGATTATACTTGTTATACAATGCATTAAAGGCAGTAGCTAATCTGAAGTTTCACTTTGAAAATCTGCTATTAGAGCGCAACATTAAGCAGATAATCACTGTGCCTAAAGGGAGGCTTGCTAGTATTTTTAATCTTGTATTATATAAAGAATGATTGATTGGAGTTTTTCCAAATTAAAAAGCAAATTCCTGAAAAATGAGGGCGGTAGTGTGGTCAGTTATAAATGTAGAGCCCAAGTTACAGTGTATCAGGAGCCTGGCAGATGCTGAATGGAATGAAGCAGCACTTGGAGGAATGTTCTCTATGGCCATATGTTTCAAATACTGTGCGTTAGAGACAGTCAGTTACTCGAGCTAGGTCTTCTGGCATAAAGGCTTTGAGTTATATTGATATTTGTCGGTTACTGTGACTTCTTTTTTTTTCCCCCCTTCAATTGCATCAAACCCTTAAAAAATGGTGGTAAGTGAGAGATCTGCATGCTTTGGAGTTTGTTTAATCTCCGCTTCAGTCTATACAATGCACAAGTCATAATGTTAACACTTTTTCTTAAAACTTCTTCATTCACGTTCACAACTAATTTGGATTTCAGTTTGCTGTTTTTAATCTTTATTTAGTCTAATTTTGTACTTATTTTTCTGTTGTTCTGTTCCCTCTGGTTTCGCTAGGGTTTTGATTCTGTCTGTCCTGTACTGGGGAGGCTTTTTCAGCAGTTAAGTGGCTGCCCGGGAGAGAAGTGCATAAAGAAACTTTCCCTCAGCCTCACTGTATCACCTCTTAGATTATAGATGGGAACGGTGGTGACCCACCAGTCTTAGACCTTATGCATAATCCTAAGTATTCTAGTAGGCATTTTTGTTCAATTTTTGCTAGGCAGACTCTTGCTGGAGAGTCTCTTGCTAGAGACTTATAGCCTCTATAAACCTGAAGCACAAAAGTTACCTATCTGAAATAAGCATCCAAGTATTTTGACAGGAAAAACGGTTGTTATAGCAAGAGAGAGCTTGTATCTTAATGGTGCAGTTTTATATTTCTGAAGTTCAGCAAAACAAACTCTCAAAGATGTTGCTTATGCTTATCTAAAGCAGAGAGAACCAAGTCTTAAAGCAGAACGGCTTTGGTAGCACTGCCGAGTGCGGCGGGGGGAAGTAAGGACTCGCTGTCTGTCCACTTCTGTTAAAACACTCTTCCCACAGCGCGTACAGAGTACGTGGCACAGTCTGTTTGAAACCTGCTGTGAATCAAGAGATCTGTGGAGGGAAGATGTAGATTTCCTCCACTGTGCTTTGTGTTCCAGTACCTGATGTGTCTCTGTATATCTCCACTGTATATACAACAGCACATTGATGTCTGGTTGTCCTTACTAGTCCTAGTTTTCTCTGTATCTTGTCCGATAGTTACTGTTGCTGGTAATGGACTTCTGTGGACACTGGTGTGTCGCTAGTTTGTTATTTTGGCTGTAAAGCTGTTGGTTTGTGGTTAGTTCTTTCTTTTTTTGAAATATTTTTGTTCCGGTCACTGTCTGTGCTAGCGGTGGCTTTGCCTCTCCGTTGCCTTGAAGGTACAGGTGGAGTAATGTCCCCTTTGACAGACATTACTCCTAGTGTGTGCTCATGCGGATGCCTACACTGTTTTAAGACTGTAATTTCCATAACTGCTGCATGTGCACTAAGCCCCCTTGTGGAATCCTGCTGTGAGTTTCTTGAAGACTTCAGTGAAAAAACCCTCCTAGCCTGAGGGGGAACAGCAGTTGCTGATTCGCTAAAAATAGCAGGTTGTGAATTGGCCCCCCAAAATAGTTTTACAGGAACATCAACTTTTTCAATTTATGTTGTACTGCTATTTAAATGACCTTAACTTCTGTCTTCTGTATGGCAACTTGGGGGCAAAAGAACATAAGAATGTTCAATTGGTCATGAGAGAACTAATATTAGTCACGGAAACATCACTCATTGGCAGATTTTTTTTTCCCAATTCCTAAAAAAGAATATTTTTCCCAGGCTTTTTGCCAAGACACAGGCAGAACAATGCTGTCAGTCTTCTGTAGCTAAAGTCTGTTGTGTCTAGGGTTATTACAACAGTCTTTTTTTTTTTTTTTTTTTCTCCTGGTGTTTTGGGTCCTCTTTTCTCTTAGGTGCATGCACAATGCCTGCTGATATCCAAGGACTATAGTTGGGTATTGTAATAAAGTATTGCACCTTCAGCCCCCTCCTAACCTGGTGTAATTAGACATCAAGAAAAATGGAATATGAAATGGTAGTATGATCCATGGGAAAAGATGAGCATATGGCGTATATACCCTGTTTTGTAAATACCAGTATATACCCATCAACAGTTGAACAGGTTAAAAATCAGTGCAAGAGAACAAACAGCAGGATTTTACAACTGAAATGTTGGTTTGTCTTCTCATCTACTTTATGAGATTGAACCACTGGAACTTGGGGACAAGATGAGTATGACCATATTGCAACAATCTGTCCGCTACAGTTGCAGTTCTTCATGACAAGCATTCAAAGTGTTAACTAAAACCATTGAAGCAACATACTTGCCATTAAAACTTGAATCCAAAAAATAACTCCATGAATTTTGCACTGTCAAAGTGGAATGGCCTTTAATGCTATAGATAAATGGTTTGCTGTTTCAGCTCGGTTGGTGTACAGAACAAAGACTGACTTTTTTTCCTTTTTTTCCTTGTCTTTCACTGGATTGCATCTGAACCCTTGCTGCAGATGATGAACCAGCTGGGCCAATGTAAGTGCACTTTAAGAAAAATATTACTGAGGTTACTCAGAGGGATCTGATAGTTTGTGGGAGTTTACACTACTTTAAACCTATGTTACATTATCGACTGCAACAGTCGGAAATTTTGGTTGAGACCAGCAAGCCATTGCTATGTAAGAACAGGCAGAATTCTCACTCCAAGGAGCCTGTGAGCTGACCTCTCTTGACTTGTTGTTTGGGCAAGGGAGTAAAAGCGTAAGGGGAGAGGCCACAAAAAAGTCAGTGCTGTCGAGTAAAGCGAGTGTCTCATCACTGCTACTTGGGAACCCTACAATGACTTTTTGTCATTTGTAGGTACTGGAGTAGAGAACACCTGACACTCCAAGAACTTTGCTGTAAAAACAATGTTGTTGAAAGAGCTGGAAATAGATTTTCATGCTAAAGCAAAGAGTGGTCTCCTGACTGCCTTGCAGAATATATTTGATATAATATTACAAAAATAATTAACTGGCAAACTGGAAAAACGTGCTGCCTCAATTGTACAATGTGAGTAGTAAAACAGAACGATGGATTTGGGAGGTGAATGCACTAGGCAAGAAGGTATCGACATAACAGGGCTAAAAGTTGTTTGAACTGCCTTTAACAATGTAGAGCCAGGAGGAGGGAGAGTTGAGTGTTACTTAACTGTATGTACTATGAAAACTTTTCTTACACTTGGGAATGACTTTGCATTTTCTACCTCTTTCTCCAGGAAAACAAATTCTACAAACAATCATAAAGATAAAAACTTACGCCAGAGAAACACAAATTAAAAATGCTTATAATGTAAGTACGACCTGCATGCGCATCAGAAATGGCCAGACGGGAGTCCTGCTTCTTGTGTAGTAATGGGTAGGGGTTCCTATAAGTAAACGTAACTTGTCTGTGCGTTTAAAAAGCTGTCAGCTGTTCAGTGTGTTGCGCTAGTGTTCCTGGCTCTGTCACATCTCAAAGAACACACAGGGTGATCTTTTTTTTTTTTTTTCATAAAATATGACTTTTAATGATGCTATAAATGGAGAACTGTTTGCTCACAAATATAGCTTAACAAACTATAGCTTATCATTTTTGGTTGAAAAATACTACTAAAAAAGCCAGCTGCTGCCTCTTATATTTGGATGGTAGCTGAAGGTTTGTTTCTCAGTAAATTAGATATTAAGGCTTTTGTTTACATGCAGTTAGGGCACGTGATGAAGAAAATGCTGTCAGTCATTGACTAATGCCTTTTCTCATTTCTTTTTTAGAGCTTTAAGTTTCTGAGAGACTGATGGCAATATGACCTGCTAAATTTAATGGTTGGGACTCTTGGTTCTAGAACTCCTGTTCTGTCCTTTTTTTTTTTTTTTTTTCCTTTTTTTCTTTTTTTTCTCATTTCCTTTTCAAGTGAGCAACAATATGACTGTCTAAAGCATGCCTTATTTAGCCTCTCCTGTAAGGACGACCTAGCCAGATAAATTTTAATAATGCTTCAGTGTAGAAGGTGTAAACTATTTTGGGCTTGATGTGCTGTGAATGTTGCTTTTTTTCCTTAATATATTTAAACAGTAGAAGTAGTCAGATCATGCATGCGCCATTTTTTACTTAAGGTAGCTGTTAAATTGGCCAAGCTCTAAAACGCACTGCTGCCATCTAGTGAGACTTTTTTGTAAAGTACAGCAAAACTTAAAAATATATACAGTATATATTTATATTTTGGGGGAGGAGGGGAAAACCAAAATATAGTAAATGTGTTTCATTTTTAAGCTGCTGATATTCATTCCTTACGGTATGTCTGAAAGATGAGAGAATTATACTGTTCTGGTACTTAGAGAAGTAATATAAATTGAAATTATCTTAAGGGCTTAACCTATACAGAGAGACTTGGGTGTCCAATAATCAGAATTCAGAAGCTGGAATGGTTCAACAAAGTGGTGGTGAAATGCAGTTAAAACCTAAAACAAAACTTCAGTTTATAAATATATATATATGATTGCTTTTTAAGTGATTTTTTTTGTTGTTAAATCATGTAAATTCTCAAATCCTTTTGCACTGATGTGTTCAACATATTCTTGTACATTCAATTCAGGCAAACTTTTATAATTTTCTTTTTTGTTTAAATGATGATGAAATGTTACGGCATGGTGATATTCTATGCAACTAGTTACACTCTTTAGTTTGACACTGTAATTTCTCATGATTTAAAGATTGTAGAAATAGACCTAACAGGGTTCTCATGATGTGCGTAACTGTAGATGCATGAACTTGTGTTCTGTGTATGTGTTGAAGTGCAATGATGTATAAAAAGTGGATTCACCTGTTTTTAAAAATAAAACACTGACAAAACTGTGTGAGATTTTTTCAGATAATTAACAATATTTAAGCTTGTGTAGCCTGAGTGCTGTATATTCTAGTAGTAATAAGTTAATATTTCTCAACCTTCTGTTAGTTTTTTCAATTCCTTCTCCACATCTTCCACAAAAGCTGGGAAATTTTGATCCATGAGACATAAGCGAATAAAAGGCCCCAGCTCTTGTGCACTCCACACAGAATGCCGATACACAAGGGGGAGCTCAGCCTTCGATTTCAGCACAGACTGCAGAAGTAAAAACAAAGGTGTTGTATTAACCTTGTACATAAAAGGTAGTATTACATGTTTTTTGTAACGATTCAGTTGCATCAGATTTTTCCCTTCAGTATTTAATAAAGACGCATCTGCCTTGTTAACACGCTGTTTGAATACTTTCCATTGCACACGGTGTCTCTATGTAACTGCTTTTCTGGTACTTCGGACCACTTCTAATATAGCTTTTATGCAACTTTGAATTCTGGAGCTTGCAGTTATTTAAATTGGAAATGGCATTTTTTTTGGGTAATGGTGACTTTGCCTCATAGTGAATGTGTTCTGTGTAAGGAAAAAAAAAATCTTTTATGAAGTGTATGTAATGCTGTTTGAAATAGAGCTCTGGCAGTTCTAGCTTCCACAACCTTAATGGAGCAAGAGCTCTCTTACAGGTAATGTATGGGACTTTTGAAAACAAATGCTTTCATCCCTGTCCAACCACTCTCTTTTGACACTTCCTTAATCCCCCCCCATTTTTCTTGTGGTGTTGATAAGAGGAAGAAACGTGTGTGTTATGTCACACTTCAATGTAAAACTAGCAGCAAAGGGAAGATAATCACTGGAAGATTCTTGAGGAAGCCTTAACTACCTTCCATTGGATGTAGGAGATGCTCTTATGCATTGGGATTCATTGGAGAAAGGCACAAATCTAAGGGGCTGGTAACAGCAGCAGCACAGAAAGTGCTTAGGAGTGGCCTCTGACACCTCTGTGAACCAGCTTGACTAAAACTTTATTTTGGCTGGCTACCGATTGTCCCCGCAGGAAGTGACTATATTAGATAAAGAGCAACTCCACTGGTTAAGGGCAACTCCACTGGGCCCTACTCCAGGCAGTGTTGCTGCTCTTTCTAAACTGCATAATTCATAATATGCATTAATGTCTCTAAGGCTTTGTGTACCAGAATTTTTTTTTCATTATTTAGGCTGCGTATTCCCTACAGCCCTCCCTTCCCCCTCGCTCTGTTTACCCCTCTCTGCTGAAGTTGTAAGAGCAGGAGCACCAGTTACGACCAGTGATTTTTGGATACTTTGCATGGGAAAGTAGAAATGAGGGAAGGCTGAAACTGCTCTTGTCTAATGCAGAGGCAGCTAAGGATCATGGTGAATACATGCTCTGTTATTTGGGGGTGGGGGAAACATCTAATCATCGTTACTCTGTATCTTGTTTTAAAGAAAGAACCTCAAAAGTCAATTTTGTCTTTTTTTTTTTTTGATGTATTAATGTGGGAAGTGCAGGGTAGACTAAACCTCTCCATCTGAAGAAGTTAAAATTGTTATAAACTGTTAAATCAGGCCCTAGTTTCCATAGCTTAAACACATAACAGTGTAGAGCAAGTGCCAGATGGCCTGGGCACACTAGCAGTTGGAGCATATCCATGTTTGACTGGGGAAGCAGGGGGGAATAGATCCTAGTATTTTTGCTCATCTTGGTATTGGTTCACAGGGCAGTACTCAAGACCATGACATGAGGAAAAAAATGATAGAGAAAAATGTCTGTTGGATGTGTTCAAAAAAAATTAGTAAAGAGAATGCTTGAAGTAAAGCTTCTGCTAACATTTAAACAGTGATTGGAGACCTCAAAATGTCTCCTGAGGGGGTGGTAGTAAGGAATTTAAATTCTAAAGCACAAATAAGCCAGGTGAAAGGTTATGTCTCAGAAATAGGGAAATAAACTCCCCCCTGAATGAGCTTGGTTAGTGCAACCTTGTGCACAGGAGATGGGGAAACACCGTCTATGAGCACAGCTGTATTAAGCTGTCTGGAAAGCAGAGAAACAGCGGATGCTGTAGAGAAAAATACTACATCAAGGCATCTCTGAGTGCTGGGGAACTTGGTAGCATTTCCAAGAAGAAGTGGATGAATCAGCGTGTGACAGGTCTTTTTATCACAAGCAGGTATCAAGCACCTGCCTTACCCTTGCACGTGACAGTAGGAATTTTTAAAGACTGAAGTTTTTCTTTTATAATGCAGGTTTTAATTTGCCTTTCCTAGTATTGTCTCTTAAACTAAAGCTTAGTTATGAAAAAAATAGAGTTGCTAAAGGCAAGCTCTGCCTTGTTTGATCACTCTATATTGAATATTGAACCCAGATCTAAACTATGTCCTGGCCAGGAAGGGTATCCAGTGTGTCCTGGGCAACCAATGTCACTAATTCCTTCTGTTCCAGGCACCTGTCCCCTGGTAACATCAGTTCTCAGCGAGGTTTGAATGGTCCTGAGCCTGCCACTCGGGTTGTTGGTAAATCCCCTTGGCTGTTACTGCAGACAAGAAGTGTACTGAACACTGAAATAGAGGTGCAAGAAAACATACTTAGGGTGTTGTCAGACTTAAACTAGCTGTGGGTAGGTAACGGCTACAGCTTAAGTCTGCACTCGACTTAGCTGTGCAGCAGTGCGTAGCTATGGATTTCCTAGCAAACTCTTAACATTGTTCTACTGCATAATCAACTCAGTTCCTTCCTGCCCCAGTAGTAACTGCCTTATTTGAAATTGCAGATAAAAACTAGAGCTTGTTGCTAGTACTAAAATTAAGTGAATGTTGTTTTTTTCCTGCAAATTATCGTCATACTTCAGCAAAACTGGAACTACTAAGATATGATTCACAGATCTGGATAGCAAAAAAACTGTTGGTAGTTGCAGTAGTGCATGTATACAGCTCTTGTCATGGAGATAAACTTGTAAAACTCTCATGAAACAAAGTGTTTGGTAGGTCTGTTTATCATTAAAAACGTTTGGGAATTTAGAGATATTTGTAATGGGGCACACAGGAATGAGCCCTTAAACCACTGATTAGAAGCATTGACCAGATCATTCTATCCCTAGGAAAAAAGTATAAGAAAGATCCATTGGGAATTTGTAGAAGCAATTAAAACAAATTAGAAGCCATAGAACTATTAGAACACCTTGTTACTGTAAATTCCAGATAATACAGAATAAAATCATATTACTAGCAAACTATTTTTAACACCCTTCTACCCTGGACTTATTGGTGAAACTGGCAGTTGAATTACAGATGCTTTTGCTATGAATCAAGGGTAATTGATATTTTCAGACTTAAGCTGTAACTGCAGGGAACTGCAGAGATAGCTACAGGGTGGAACACTGACAAAATCATTTGTTTGGATGATGTGGCATGTGAGTATTTGTTTGCTCTTGGCACAGTTTTGGTTTTTTTTAAGCAAATGTTTGTAGTATGATTTTTTTTTCCTTCTTTCTAGCTTATTTCCTAGGTCTAGATCATTACATAAGATGCTGTGTTTTTGCTGGCATGGCTGTAAGTGAGCGAGCATTTTTACTGATAGCATCCTGATGCTTACCAAAGACTTCTGTCAGATTGTTACAGGATACAAGATATTTTGCTCTCTTTCCTGCCAAAGAAATGAAGTTACAGGACCCAAATATGAGATTTTTACCTGTGCTAGCTCTGTTATAGATCTTCTTTCTCCAAAGCTTGTGCATGAATCTGTTAAAGGCTCATCTGTCTGGAAAATATCAAATGCAAATAAAGGCAAGAAGAGTGTGGGTATGTGCAAGAAGGAATAGAAGTTCCAATTTTAGAGGTAACAGGAAGAGAATGTGCTCAGCTACCTTATGTAGCAAAAAGGCTGAAACCTGATTTCACATCTGCTCAGTCTTTACGTTTTAAATACATGAAATAACGAATCTATAGTTAAATTGTCGTGTCCAAGCCAACTAAAGAAAACCTAAAAAATAATGTGTATGTTGATCAGAAACCTGTTTTTTACTTTAAGGGTCACACCACCAAAAATATAGTTCAGGTTCGCATCTCTGTACTCAGGGCAAGGTTCTGGAGTGAGCATGACTAACAATAGTATGATTGCTTAATGGCATTCTGCCATTACCTTCTTTACCTTCCATTCTTTGTTTTAGCTCATCAGGAAATGAGTAAAGCCCAAAGGAGAGGCAGTTTGCTTCAAGCTGAACCCATAAATCTGACATCAACTGCTGAAGGTTTTCTTTCATGCACCTTCTGGGAAATGGTGTGAGTTAACTTAGCAATGTATTATTCCCCATTTTCTTTACCAGTACTTTTCAGTATTCCAAGATTTGCCTAGAGTGTATCTCAAAAATAAGGTAAATGGAGACTCTGAGATTCCCTGTGTGGACTTGGTGGTCAATATTTTATTATATGCCCCAGAGCTGTCCTCGCTGAGTTAGCTGCAGAGATGTTTTTGAGAACTAGTGATCCTCTGGGTGCCCAAGGGAGTACATGCTCAAGAGTGGATCACCCTCAGAAACATCATCTGCTTTTTCTAATTCCCTAAGGATTTTGTCTTACAGAGAAGACCATTTTATTGTTACCCTGACATCATTTTAACATGTATCAGGTTAAGCTAGAATTGATGCAACTATTGTATTTATAGATTCTGTGACTGCAAAAGAGAAGTATGCAAACAAAAAAAGAAAGAAAATTCTTAGTTACTTGAATGGCTCTTTTTTTTTTTTTTTAATCCTGTGAAATTTAGCTGAAATGTGGCCAGGTGCTTCCCAGCAATCTTAAATAAGGACACTTAGAAAGTGTGGGAACATTTTCCTGGTGATCATTCAGCTCTTATCCTCTGTCCCCTATTCATATTTATTAACCTAAGCAGAAAGCATATATTTAACAAAATCATATTTGCCTATGCTTGGGTGTTGGGGAGTGTCTCTTGCATGTTGCTCTCTTGTTATTTCTTCAGCAGTAATGCCTTCCTGTGCTTGCCTGAGCCCCTGTACCAGTTGTTTGTTTCCTTCATTTTCAGGCTCCCCAGCTGAGAAGCTTAAACCCCAGCTTTTTCCACCTTCTTTTCCCCCCTCATTTCATACACATCCTGCTATAATCCTATAATAATGCAAACTGTGTATATCAACCTTTGTTATGACTCACCTTTTTGAGGCTACAAAGAAGGTAAGTGATTGATGTTATAATAGGCTTGAGGAGCTTGAAGAACTTTGAGCGTTATGCTGTTGACCTTTCTATCAGGGACACTGAGAACACAGGAAGCTTAAAATCAGCTTCAATAGCTCCTTCTTAGATAACTCCAGCCCAATTCGCTACCTATTTTACCCTGCACGTTAACTGAATGTCAGGTTTGGGTTTCCCAAATTTTCCCATCTAGGCTTCCAGGAAGAGTAATAGTAATTCACTTTCCTGAAACATTAAATACAGACCTTAACTAAAAGTTAGTTTGCAAGTTATGCATCGCTCTAGTTATTTTTGGCACCCTCTGCACAGTTCAGGTATTGTGCCAAAAAAATAAAAAAGGAAATCTTCAGACTTCAACCAGAATCTACCAGCTAAGATGCATGAAAAAATAAACAGAGTATTTCCTAGAAAAAAAATGACTTTTTAAATCACAAAAAGCTTCAGTTGTTGTTTTCTTAAAAAAAAAAAAAAAAAGTCCAGTAAAAGTATTTTTTGCATTAATAATAGGGGGCTGATGATAATAATAGACAACAACAAGAAACTCACAGACCTAAAATAATTTCCCTGGAAAACACTAACTGATTAAGAGCTAAAACAACCTAACAGCAATAATCAGCCAAGGAAACATTATTTTAACTTGCTTTTAGCAGACTTTAGTGATAGCCTGCTTCTCATTTTTCACAGAAGTTTCTAGTAGCTGCAAAAGATCATTTTGCCAAAGGTGCACTAGTATCATTTACGGATCTAACACAAAGCGTTAATTATTTCTGACTGGAAAATCTAATGTGCTCTTGCTTACTTACTGTGTGCAGTATGGACACATTTTGTTCATAGTTCTTCACTTGATTTTCACTGTGAGCCAGCTGATTGAGATTTTGATAGAGCATCTGGCTTTGCTCATCGGTCACTTGAACTGGTACATACTCGGTGAGTTTCTGCACACAGTTAGAGCAGTGTTCCAGCATCTGCTCTTTTGAATCTCCCCCAAACTGGACACGGAACATACGGCATTCATGCTGCTAAAAGCAAAGGGAAATTAATTTATGATTAGTTTTGATTTAATTAGACTTGCATTCATTATCATTAGGAAGAAAGTGAGAGTTTTTGGATCACTGCACCAGCTTAAATATGAGAAACCCCCTTTCCCTGTTGCATCTTTGTCTATTCTAATAGCCAAACCATGAAGAACTGATTCCCATTTCTAAAATAAGTAAAAATAAATCCTCTTGCAATGGCAAGTTAATTTTATCTTTCCTAAACACAAATATTGCAGAGAAATTAAGTTGTTGTTGCTCCAAATGGTATTCTAAAACAAGAAGCCAACTCTGACCAGCTATTGATAATAAAATGAAATGGCAACAAAGTTAGTCACCTTTGGAATTCAAGCTAAAGATAAGGAAAGGTTCATACCAAATAAATAAATCAGCTGCAGGTCTACTGCTCTGATAGTGATGCTGTCAGGAATCACTAGTCTGTCTCTATTAGTGTGAGATTCTGACTCTCTGCAGATGCCCTTAACCCTGAAATGTGGCAGGTTCTGTGTATACCTGCAATATAGGCTCATGGAGAACATCTTTTCATTATTTAATAAAATATAGCATTCCTCCAAGTTGTGAAGTAATATTAAAAACTAAACAAAAATACTGGACAGAGTTAACCTCCAATGCAGGTTGTTGTGCTATATAATAACAGAAATTTCTGCAAAGGTTGAGCTCCAGCAAACTGCACAGAAAATGGAGGACTGAAAGGCCTGTAGTGCATCATAAGGTTGTCCTAATGACCAAATGAGAACAAAAAACAAAAAGGGAAAACATAAATGATAGCTAGTAAAATATTTAGTTGCATATGCCCCATCATCACCTTCTACACTCTATGCAAGAATAGTGTTTGACTCTCTGATTTATAGTGCCTTTGATACTGATGTCTATAAGAGATAAAACCTAGGGCGTTTTGTGCTGTGGCTAGCTTCCTGCAATGCTTTCAAATTTTTTAAGGATTAGCACAGAAACTATATGTACATGGAGAGCATTTCAGGGATTCCTCCAGCTACCATTTAGGTTAGAAAGTAGAGAAACCGTATGACCACTGTAATACCACTAAATCCATTTTAAATTGTGAGAATATATTGTAAGCAGGCATTTGGATGCATTGACTTCATTTAAGACGGAGTGGAAAGTCCTTCAAAACTTTGTTCAAGCCTCCAAATGATTGTGATGTTGATTTTATATTTCTTCTGAGGTGCAGAAGAATCCCTTAACACTGTGGTGGGGAGCGGGTTTTATTAACCATTTTATTAACTGAATCTGATTCACCTAAACTAATTACTGCACCAGGTCCATAGTCTTCTCTCCAGTAATGCCCTAGATTGTTAAGCAATCTGACAAAAAAAAAGAAAGCAAAAGTATTGCATTTTCAGGCTACAAGAACCTGTGAAATTAACATAGGTTGAGATATTTATTTTTGCATTTCCTAGTGCCACGATCAGGCTAGGTTTATTCTGAAATAACTTTGAGGTGATAACTTTTTATTTGAAAATGGATATTATGCCTCACCACGATCAGGCTAGGTTTATTCTGAAATGAGGTGATAACTTTTTATTTGAAAAATGGATATTATGCCTCACATGTGTTTATATTTTGCAATTAGCAAAGCGTTCCTCTGAACTACAGTGTTTTGTCTGTATCATCTTTTATAAAGATATAAAACTGTATAATTAGCCGGAGTAAACGGGCCTAGGTACAGTTTTCTGCTAGCCTTGATGTTGCAATTATCTATGATTATAATAACCCGGTCTGTACCTCCCACAGGAGTTCCTGGCAGGGAGAATTACTAGAAGAGCTTTGAATACTGGGGATGTTTTTTTTCCTTAATAGTCCGGTGAATGATAGCAGGAGCTAAAACTGGTCTCTAGTAGCTACTAAACAAACTACTTAAAATCTCTTCCAGAATTCCTGTTTCTACCTTAAAAAAGAATTATCTTGTCCAGTCTAAAGAGTTAAACTGAAGGCAGCGTTTTTTTCTGCAACAAAACTTAGAAAGTATCAGGGGAGCAAGGAGAGCTGTTGTCATTTTGAAACAATCTTTGTTTATGAATAACCTGTCAAGTGCTCAGCAGAGCTGTGTAAGTAGCCTCCCAGAGTTCGTTTAAGAACTAAAAAAACTGAGATTTTACATGTAAGTTAGTAAACAAGCAAGTACCATTTAATTATTTGAAGGCTAACCAACCATTTTTCATGAGATTTGAGGGTAGACCAGAACTCCAGACCTCTTTCATTAGCTTCAACACCAGATGCCTTAATCAGACACTACTGTGCCCAGCCTCAGGGCCCAGGAAATGACTGTTTGTTTAGATATTCAGTTGGCCAGAGCAAGGTGCCAGAATGGAAATACCATTTCTCTGAGATGTAACCCTGATGGCAAGTGTGAGAAACAGGAGGAATACATACAAAATTAACCTATTTTTCACACATTCTCAAGCAAAGAAATGTTTAAATTTAATCAGCAGTGTAGGAGATGTTGTATATGCAGTTCAAAATGATTGATAAGCAGCATCTAAATGTAAGCCACAAGAAAGAATCTCAATTTTTTTACTGGTTGGCAGTGTGGCTGTCAGCATACGGGCCCGTTTTCAGGTTTTATACATTCAGATGAGCAAATTCTAAATAAAAATCAGACCAGATATTTTAGTTGCTTACTCTTAGAAAGTAGTCCCAATGACTCAAACAGTAGGAACTCTCTACAGAACCGTCATGACTATTAGGAATAATTAGAAGCAACTCTTCTGACCTTTGACTTTGCCCCAAACAGCAAGCAGTCTGCTCTTCTTACTATTTTCAACCACTTGTGGGAATCAATTAATGAAAAGCCTTCCTGAAATGAAGCAGAAAGCAATCTATTTGAACACCGAATATGCAACACTCAGAAGTAAATGCTCAAGTTATCTTACAAAATTTAATTACTCATAGAGCTCATTTACATCTGTATGTGTATCTTGCATAGCTGTGGGACTTATTCTGCTGTATTAAACATACCAAGATTCCCTATGACCTCCCACCATGCGGCCCAAGGAGTCTCCTGGGGCCCCCAGTGCAGAGGCACATGTCACTGTGAATTCCAGACCACTGTGATATAGCTTCCTTTGCTAAGGAGCCAGCCAGCAATATTTACCACATACTTCAAAAGAGCTGGTACTTAAGATGTCAGAAATAACCAACAACTACAAATTTAAATTTTATTTTTCAGTAAACCTGAAAAATTTACTATCTGTAAACCTAATAGAAAAGTATATGGAAAGCATAAAATTGACTTATTTCTTTACCACACTCTGAATTAAATTAGAATCTATAGCTCCAGCAACAGCACTGTATCAGCGTACATATTACTTTCCATATATATTTCAGTATGTATATATTAAGTGTCCTTGATATGCATAATAAAACAGTTGCAATGGAGAGTTTTAAATTCTCCTCCTGTATCCCATGAAGTTACTTAGGAGAGCAGCAGAGGGCAGGCAAACCTGGAGAATGGGACAGCAACTATCTAAGACCTAGACAGGCCTTTTCTTCAGGCAGAATTCAGGTAAACAAGCAGCAGCTTTTATAACTGGATAAGGATATTTTTGTATTTCAGTTGTGTTACCTGGTAGTCTTTTCAAACAAGACCAACCACTTAGTGTTCTGTAAAAACATCCCAGGAATCTGAAAACATCACATAAACATTGCAGGGCAATGGACTAAGTTATTGCACAGACTGCCACATAGTCATTATTTGTCAAAGTTGAAGGCTGGAGAGAATTTCCTTGTCTGCTTTCTTTCTTTTATCTGAACAAATGATGCTTTTCAGCTGCTGTGACTTTTCACAAAAATTCACAAATGAGGCAAATCCTGAACCACCAGATTGCATTTCTGCCAGAATCAATATCCGTCCTGCTTTGGTCCAGGCTGGGAAGATGCCTGCCATTCTGCTTTGGTACAAGGAGTCACTGCAATAAGACACTGCCCTTTTAATGTGCCAACACTGGCTCTACAGCCTCACACAGCAGCTGCATGTGGACCTTCACTGAACTGGGCTTTTGAGAGGCATGTCTAAGAAACCTTGATGGCTGGAACTGAAGGCAAACTGGCTCAAGGACTCATTGCTGAGCACATATTTACTGTTACGGACTCCAGAATGGGAAGAACATGCAAGCATCAGTCTCAAAAGATTTAAGGTGAGAGGAAGAAAACTTTCCTGTGCACTGTTTTTGGAAAAGCCCTGACAGCAGGTTAGGCAGGGCAGTCACTTGGCAGCACTGAGTGCACTCAAAATGCTGCAAGGCAGGAATTGCTGAGGTGTGAAAGGCCTCAAGGTCAGAAGAATAAGATGACCTCACTTCATGATGGAAGGAAAGTGCCAGGCCATCTTCTACGCTTACAGGAGTTATTTAAAGGAACGTGGATCTTAATAGACATCCTCACTGGAAGAGAACATCTTGTTTGCTAAGTCAGTACTCCACAGTCACAATACACAATGCAATTAGATTGCTGAAACAGTGTCCACCACACTAAAGGCACCCTCCTTCCCTATAAACACAAAATCCTCTCCAATCTAGGGTCACTCTCTTGAAGACAAACCAGTAAAGCAGCAATAACTCCAGAAAACAAGGCAGCAGAAACTACAAATAGGATAGGTCCAGAAACAATTCCCAAACCAAATCAGGATAAGTGCCAGCAAGCTAGCAGCCACAAATATAACACTGTAATGCAAATAGAGTTTACAATAAGTTTTGTCACAACTCAGCTGCAAATTCAGAAAGGCTGTAGCTCCCATATTGCTGCAGGAGATTTTTTTTATACTTACTTTCACTTTTCAGCTCTCAAAGAGTCATATAGCACATGTAGCTCCCAACCGTGTACAATATCTCCCTGACCAAATGCACTGAAAACTGAAAAAGCCTCAGGAGAATTCAGCATCTTATTAAAATTGCCCAGCAGACATTGGTAATGTGTCATGATGAGCCATACTAAGAAGAGTAAAATAAGAGTGTAAGTAACACAAGAAGCATAGAGTGGCATATGTTTCATGGCATGTAGACTGAGGTGCTAGTTTAGGTAGCCAATCCACAGCAAGGCTCATGCTGTCATATACTTTTTCACCAGAGTAATGAGTTTGAATAGCAGTAGTACATCCTCCAGGCTAAAATTTCACCTCTGGCTCAGTTCAAACTAGGAGGTCTGAATTAAGGGAAGGAAATTGGGGACTTAACACTACAGTTGTTGGGAAGGAAAAAAACTGAAGAGATGCTTGTGCATAGCATGGCAGTACTTCACCTGCTGTCAACAGCACCTACAGCTATTACCACCGGTGTGATGGCTTAGTACATGGTTGCACAAAGTACAAAAAGGCAAATTTAATTTGTGTGCACTGGAAGTTATTTAAAGGTATACTTAACAAGCACATCCATCTACAGCAATTAGCAGTCAGTGCTATGTTCATTGTTGATGTAAAGGAGCCAAGCAAGGAAAATGGAGTTGAAATTACATTAGTAAGGTACAGCCTACAGTGCATTCAAGATGGACAACTGGTTGCAGAAAAGGCAGCAGAAGAGCTTGAATGGGGCAGGAGGTAGATTCTCTAACCAGAACAGAGAGAAAGACAAGATATTTAATACTGGAATTTATAAAGAAAAAAAAAAGAGAGAAAAAAAACCCCAAAACAGAAAACACACACACCTGTGCCTTCCAGGGTTTATAAAAGTGAGCTGGAGAGTAAACACTATCACTATTTAGAATTCACTAGGGCAAGTGTGTTTGTTTTGTATTTCTTTCAAAAAAGAAAAAAAAAAAAAACACAACGTGAGGTGAATTCCATCTCAGCACAAGGCCTTGATTTCCCTAATTTCAAGTAGTAAACATTGAGCAACTATTTTTAATTAGATGAGATTGATGGGAATATCCATATCTCCTCCAAACAAACAGGCCAGTTCAAAAACACTTGCCCTGGGCAGGCACCCAGGTTGAGCACTGGGCAACCAACCTAGAAAGTCATTTGTGTTGCACTATGAGCACTGCCTGCTACTGGAAACTCCCCCTTCGCCCTTCCTCTCCCGCTGCTTCCCCTGCCAGCTCCCCAAAAAATGTTGGTGAAGCAAATCCAATATCCCATTCTTTTACTAGGCCACTTTCAGTAACTTGTGGCATGCTAGAGCTTGCTCTGTCCATTTCAAGTACTGCTTTTGATACACACCAACTATGTTTATTTAAAATAGCTGTGCTCTTAAGTTTACATTTATAGTATTTTTCCTTTCATTCAGAGACATAGAAAAATGTTTTCTCTTTAAAATACTCTTTTCAAAGAGATCATGAATAGCAGGTAACATTTAATTTTCCTACTAACTACTTCACTGACATTTCCCAGATTGCCATTCTTTTATACCTCCTTTCTCTAAGGTAAAGCAAATTGGTAAAAGAAACAAAAAAAATTTTTGATTTTTTACTTACATACTTTAATTATTCACTTCCAATAGCAGAATTTAATTAACTAAAATTTAACTTTGACTTTAATTAGCTAACTGAAGAACAAAGCACAAAGTATTTCCTTTATTCTTGCACCCCTGGTTGATTCCATATTGCCAGGCAGAAATAAATAGAAACCTAAGAATAGCTAACCCAAAAGGGAATGCCTCAGTGTAATACTCGAGCAATACAATAGAGCTCTTCTGCTGGAGAAAAAAAAAAAAAAAAAGCTATCTGGAAAGTTATGGACAAACTCAGGTCTACAGAACTACTCAGACTGAACTCTGTCATTAAACTGTTTACAACATTAAGTGACACTCCAATCAAGATCTTCTAGATTTTCTCAGTTTTAAAAAGCAAATAAGCCTGATTTAGCACAATATTAAGAAACTCCATTCTGTTCCTCATGGCTTTTTGTGTATTACCTCAACCTGCAAAGACTATATTTGGGGCTGCTTGAGATAGGGCAACATAACAATGGTATCTATTTCATTCTTAGTAAGAGAATTATGAATCAGCATATGAAGTTAAATAAGCAAATTCAGGGCAACCAGGAGGAAGACCACTACGAACCTGTCCCCTGCTCCATTATTCAAAAGCTAGAGAATTAGAAGATCTCTGCCAGCATCCAAGAAGCATGGGACACATTCCGGAAACCAGATGACAACATTATAGTTCAAACAAACAAAGAGACAAGAACAAGGATAGCCGTGGTTACTGCACACAACATCCATATCTGCGTAACGTGGGCTTTGAGCCCAGACTTGGGCTTTGCTGAGCAGTATTGGGAAAGAGAAAGGAGGAGCAGTAGTGTAACAATAATGAGGAATATAGAGAGAATGCTAACATGAAACTGGTCAGGAAAAGACCCCAAATGTTTATGATCTGGTATATAAAAGGGAGCTTTTTTTTTTTCTCTAAGAACATCAGCATTCAATCTTGCATATACTCCTCATCTCATTTTCCAGGGTAATAGTTGCAATAACGTCACATTAAAGCAAAACAATTTTCTGTTTTTTTCTAATAAAAACATTAAGCCTCTCATGATCCTAGAGAGAAATAAAGTGGAGGTAGGGAACATTTCCCTACCATATTCTGGAACCAGGACAAGTCATAACCAAGCTGATCTAGCTTTATACCTGTCTGGTCCATCACTTATTGGAAAATACTTTTGTTCTGCCTTTATATTTCTGCATTCATGAAGGTATTGAATAATGAGGCCCAGGTATGTATTGCCTACTATTACTAATACTTCTATCAGATTATTTAGCAACCTCAAATGAGATGCTAAACAACATGTGAACAGAGAAAACATTATTTATTCTATGTTTTACCGCAAGGTAGTTAGGCAAACTTAACTGCAAGGCAAAGCATTTT